TTTTACCAAAAAAAAACGGCGGTTAAAGATTATTTTTTGAATTCTGAGTTTTTCTTTAAACCCCGGGACACCCATAGATGGCTAAACTTTTTTAAAATCCTTTAAAAAAATAAAAAAAAAAAAAAAAAAAAAAAAAAAAAAACTAACTTTGTAGAAAAAAAACAGGGACTAACTTTGAATGTAAAAATGGATTCATTAACCATTGGTAAGTATGGGAAAATTGTTGTTTACTTCAGGAAAATTCATTTTTTTGGCCAAAATGAAGAGTGATTATCCCTTTAATAGCTATGTCGACTGCATACGTCTATCTTAGAAATAATTAAAATGAAACGCGTTATTTAATCATAAACTTCTCTTTAGAGATTGGATTGCAGTTTAGGTGGATTCAATGTCACTTTTTGTATACGGAAAAAATTAAAAGCATCGTCTTTGGCTTGCATCAGGCATGAGCAGTGGTCTAACAATGTAAGAGCAAAATTCTCGGACTGAAATTGACAATGAAATCACCCCAATGTTCGTTTTCATTTTATCGATCTAATTCAATGTACCGGGTATGCAATTTCTTTCAAGGTCTAAGATGGGATGCTTAATTGGAGACTTGAAGAACTCCTTAGTATATTGGTCTGGTCGAAATGTTTATCCAAAATTAAGTCCAACCACCGGAAATTGGTCATCTTCGAATTCCTATCTACAGACGACATGTACACCCAACAAACACATCGTCTTCGTGAAAATACCAATAACTGGTTCTTCTACCGTTGCTAGCGTGTTTCTTCGCTATGGTTTCCGTAATGATTTGAAAGTTGTTCTCCCTGCTACTCAGAACACATATCTTAGACTGAAGCAATCAGAATATGACGTCATGAGGGATGAATATGACAAAAATCCGCACTACGATATAATGACACACCACAGTAAATACGAACGAAAAGCAGTGGAGAAACTGATGCCTTCGGATTCAGTCTATGCTGTTATGCTGAGAGAACCAGTAAGTCGTTTCAAATCTGCTTTTAATTACTTCGGTGTCAATAAAAAGTTGCGTCTTCGAGGCAAAAATCAGCTAAAAACATATCTCAGTACCCCCGCATTATATAACTCCAAACATTCGGAGTTGCTATTCAACGTCATGATTAATTATTTGGGATATTCTTCTGCAAAAACTTCAGTGCAAAGCTTTATCAACGGTTTAGATCGGGACTTTGATTATGTTTTAATAATGGAATACACGGACGAGGGGTTGGTGATGCTGAAAGGCAGGTTTTGCTGGGATATTGGAGATGTCATATACCTCAAAATACACGAAGTCAAGCGCAAAAACTACCAAGAACTGATAAAAGGAAACACAGACCCAGAAATACCCGAAAAGTTGCGTAAATTCAGTGAAGAAGATTTCTTGCTGTATGACTATTTCAGGAGAAAAATTGAAAACATACTTCACAAGCAGAATGCGGATTTCTTTGAAGAAGTTCAATTTTTGAGAGAAGTAAACAGAAAAATTGCAGCCTTTTGTAGCTCCAAGTCTGACACAACTTTAGACATTGTGCCATGTCGCTGGACCCGTGGGTTTACAATTCACAAACCGTACTGCAAATTGATGATGATTGCAAACAGGCCACTTTCGGTTTTATTGAAGAGTACTGTAGTTATTACAAAGGTATCTTTAATGACATTATACTTCCTAAAGTATGATTTATATGGGACTACTAACATTATATTATAAAAAGAAACAAAGGGGAAACTGCTCCATTTGGACAACTTTTGCCGTGTTTGGATACATTTCACTTAACGCTAATACCATGCATGTTATTTATGTAATTTTTAGATTGTTAAACTAACATCACATCTTAGACTCAAAATTGCATTGTTTATTATTTTATTTCACAAAATTCAAAATTTGTTTTTAACAAAGTATTTAACTCCATGTCCTCAAAGAGGACTCTGTGGGAGATAGGAGCACACCTAACATCGTTCAACCCTCTAAAATTAACATTTTTGTCAATCAATCTACCAATCTATCGTGCAGTATCTCATCTATCATAGATAACTGACATATTTGTCTTCCAGGATTGTTTAAACTGGTTTATGCAATAGCACTGGGTATGTGTTGCCTTAAGATTCTCCCTATCTCCCTAATCGTGGAAGCACGTGTCATATTATTCCTATAAGCTTGCCACAGAAAGAGTTGTTCCTCGAAGTTACAAACTTGCATTGCTAAACAATGTAACTATAACGGCGGTATATATATATATATATATATATATATATATATATATATATATATATATATATATAAGTATTATATTCGCTTTTGTTTCGTGTGTAGGGGGTCAATTAATAAAATATTTAAATCGATGTTCATCGTTTTTTCAATTTTTTTAAAAAGTCATGACATCATCCATTTACCCGAAGTACTGCAGCTCGTTCCCTTACCCACTCCCATTTTTATATGATCACATGAGGACAAGTGGACGATAGCACACACAACAGAGCGGTCTTTCCTGCCTCGATTTCTGGTACATTTTCTTGTAACTTCTGTTCTAAAGTAAGACGACGCACTCGCTGACGGATTTCACATGGGTATTGTAGAAAACTGGAAGACTTCATTGTTCCAAGGCACGACTGTTAGGTTTCCGTTCAGCAAATCCTGTTCACGTGATGGTTATGTGTTAACTCAGGCTTCTTAACCATCCTTCTTGTCCTGTAGCCATGCCGGACGAGTCTCCTGTTCACTGTTGGGCGAGAAAGACGAAGCAAATTATGAGCCCGTGATTCTGACACAATGGTAATGGCAGATTTAGTGCGGGTTCTTCTGGCAATGTTGATCATGGTAAGATCAGTACGGGACAGCGGCACAGAGATGACCTGTGGATTTGTCAGTAGCTACACTTTTTGTTGTAGCTCTCCTCTGGAATTCACCTTGAAACTCCAGGCCCTCTGGCAATGTCGGCTGACCTGAGGCTCATTTCACTGAATGCAGCTGTCTGATCCCCAAGACCATTGTCAGTCGGTCCTGGTATGGCTTCTGCTAAGGTTTAGTGGAGTTCAGATAAGAACAATGCAATTTCTATGAAGGCAAAAACTTCCCTTACATAACCAAGCTAACAACATGTTCGTTTTGGCACATCCACCACACCCTTAACTTTACTTGGAGCTGCCATACCTTTAAATGTGCCCGTATTGTACTTAGTAATGTCAAATGATCAGTGCAAATATATATATATCTTTAGAGAGAGAGAGAGAGAGAGAGAGAGAGAGAGAGAGACTTAATGCTGGTGGTAGGTCATTGCTAGTCTTCAGAAGGAAGGTATTGAAATAAGTTGGTACTGCACGGCGCGGGTTATAAAGCACCATGTCAGGACTGAAATGGAAGCTTGCGATCCTTATGATAGTTTGCATATTTACAGGCAGTATTGTATTTTATTTCCTGGGAGTTAGAAGCAAACCCTCCATAGACCTAAGAGGTGGAAATCGACGTATTTCTTACGCAGGGGACTCTACCATTAAGGCGTAAGTTGAAAAAATCTTCATACTATTATGGAAGTTCTTGTGAAATAAAGAAACGGTTTTCTGAACACATTTTTATATAAGGGCTAATATAAACGCCAATGTGAAAAATAATTAAAATCATTACGATATGGCCTCGATTAATACCTACGTCGACTGCATACGTCTATCTTAGAAATAATTAAAAAGAAAATATTATTTATTGATTAACTTCTCTTTATAGGTAGGATTGGAATTTAGGTGGCTTCAAAGTCACTTTTCGTGTATGGGAACATTTCGAAACATCGTCTTTGGCTTGCGTCAGGCATTAGCAGTGATTCTCCTACAATGTAAAAGCAAAACTGACAATGAAATCACCCCAATGTTCGTTTTCATTAAATTTATGCAATTTCTTTCAAGGTCTAAGCCGGGATGCTTAATCGGAGACTTGAAGAACTCCTTAGTTTATTGGTCTGGTCGAAATGTTGATTCAGAATTAAGTCCAACCACCGGAAATAGGTCATCTTCGAACTCCTATCTACAGACGACATGTACACCCAACAAACACATCGTCTTCGTGAAAATACCAAAAACTGGTTCGACCACCGTTGCCAGCGTGTTTCTTCGCTATGGTTTTCGTAATGATTTGAAAGTTGTCCTCCCTGCTACCCAGAACAAACTCCTTAGACTGAAGCAATCGGAATATGACATTATGAGGGATGAATATGACAAAAATCCGCACTACGATATAATGACACACCACAGCGAATACGAACGAAAGGCAGTGGAGAGACTGATGCCTTCGGATTCAGTCTATGCTGTTATGCTGAGAGAACCAGTACGTCGTTTCAAATCTGCTTTTAGTTTCTTCGGTGTCAATAAAAAGTTGCGTCTTCGAGGCAAAAATCAGCTAAAAACATATCTCAATACCCCTGCATTATATAAATCCAAACATTCGGAGTTGCTATTCAACGTCATGATTAATTATTTGGGATATTCTTCTTCGAAAACTTCAGTGCAAAACTTCATCAACGATATAGATCGGGATTTTGATTATGTTTTAATAATGGAATACACGGACGAGGGGTTGGTGATGCTGAAACGCAGGTTTTGCTGGGATATTGGAGATGTCATATACCTCAAAATACACGAAATCAAGCGCAAAGACTACCAAGAACTGATTAAAGGAAACACAGACCCAGAAATACCCGAAAAGTTGCGTAAATTCAGTGAAGAAGATTTCTTGCTGTATGACTATTTCAGAAGAAAATTTGAAAACATACTTCACAAGCAGAATGCGGATTTCTTTGAAGAAGTTCAGTTTTTGAAAGAAGTCAACAGAAAAATTGCAGCCTTTTGTAGCTCCAAGTCTGACACAACCTTAGACGTTTTGCCATGTCGTTGGACCCGTGGGTTTACAATACACAAACCGTACTGTAAATTGATGATGATTGCAAACAGGCAATTTTCGGTTTTATTGAAGAGTAGTTATTACAAAGGTATCTTTAATGACATTATACTTCCTAAATTATGATTTATATGAGACTACTTACAT